CAGTTGAGCTCTTTTGATCATTCTATGCATCATGCCCAAGAATCTGTATCCCATGTGGCTGAAATTGTTGAAAGTTCAAGAACGAAAGCTCGGTCAATGGTGGATGCAGCTATGCAGGTAAAAGAAAGGACATTCAACTGTTGTTGTCTTGATGGCACCTTATGGATGGATCCACTTTGTTTGAGTCTAAACCTTTTTCTCCATCTCTACTTTCTTTCCAAGCATTTTGAAATTGTCCATATTATTGGAACTTTATTAATTTCCTTTCACATATATGTTAATTTATCAGTGTAAAACCAATAAGAAATAGGTGAAAAGGCCTACCATAAATACAAGGTCACAACAAATTTTGAGCTAATCCATATGAGATAGCCTGAAGATGGTTATTGTGTATTTTTTGAAGCAATGGATCCTTGCATTTTTATTATTTAATTTTATAAATCATGCCAATAGTGTGTTAGCCACATAGATTATTTAGCTTCAATACTATTCTTTAGTTTAGATTAAACTTTGATTACCATCTCAGGCTATGTCATCCTTGAGAAAAGGGGGGAAAAGCATCGAGAGGATTGAGGATGCAATAGATTTTGTAAATAACCAGCTTTCGGTGGATGATCTTAGTGTGCCTTCTCTGAGGTCTTCTATCCCAATAGACTCGGCCCGCAGTACAGTAACTTTTCACGATCATCTGACTGCCTCTGTGTCAAATCCACTGGCAACTGGTCATGCACCTGATACAAAGTTGTCTGATCAAGATGATCTTAGAATCCCTTCAGACCTTATCGCGCATTGTGTAGCCACCTTGCTCATGATTCAGGTAACTATATGAATGGTTCTTAAGTTCCTGTCAGTAGTTTTACTTGCCTTGATACTAGGTAGTTAACAAATTTTTTTTTCCCCATTCTGATTATTTTCACTAAAAAACAAATGCAGAAGTGTACAGAAAGGCAGTTTCCACCTGGAGATGTTGCCCAGGTACTAGATTCTGCTGTTACTAGTTTGAAGCCATGTTGTTCACAAAATCTCTCAATTTATGCAGAGATACAGAAATGTATGGGAATTATTAGGAACCAGATATTGGCGCTGGTACCTACATAGACCTGGTACTCATTCCTCGATTGTTGTTGTAAAAATTTGTAAGGCTTTACCCTCAACTCTTATCCATCTTATTTACTCCTTTTTTTTACCTTTAATAGGAATTAATACATGCACCAATTATTATCAAAGTAACCCAGTTAATTCAGTCTGTAAACTTCTTGTAGCATCATCGTGAAGCCATTCTCTTTCTATGATTTCAATTTTATTTAGGTGAATAACATTTTAGACTATAATAGGAAAGTGGAAACCCATTGTTCTTTTGAGCTGCTGCCACGTGGGATGGTAGTTTGATGCTTATAAGAAGTGGGGTTGAGCCGCGAATACTTGGTTGAGCCTGCTCGTTCCACACTGAGAAGATCAAGAACCGAAAGGGTCCAAGCATTCCTTCGCCTTATAACAAAGGGACAAATTGACCCTTCATAACTCTAAACAAATGATGAAGTGATCCTAACAGATACATAGAAATGAACCTCACTTGGAGCAAAATGGATAATCCCAATTTGACAACTTTGAGCTGAAACTATTAAACCGCATCAAAAGAGTCAGAGCAAATGGTTTGAGTTCAGGTTTTCACCATTGACAAAACAGAATGCTACCAAAAATACTGGTAAGGCTTGCATTCCTCATTTCAAACTGAATGCCGTGTTCCGTTCTTGCCTCCTACTGCAAGATTTACCTTTTTCTTTATACAGCTGTAATAGCTCCGGTGCTTCGTCTTCATACCTGTTAACTAACCGCCGAAGGAACCTCTGAAGGAAAAACTTTTCTGAAGTGTCGAACAATGCAGACAACCCAGAAGAGTTCTTAATCAAACCTCTTGATAACAACTCCTGAGTAAACAAACGCCTCGGAACAATCCGCATCTCCGGACTCCGGCCAACAACACTTGGTTCGTTGGCAATTAGCAAAGGCTGAAAACCCATTTCGTTCACAAGAAAATCCATCGTTGCCACAATCTTCTCCTCCGATGCTTCCACACAACATGGATACTTTCGAAAAGCTTCCAAAACCACTTGGTCAGACCAACCCCATTTCCTGTAAGCATCAAACTTCCTCTGCCCGGTGGATTCACTCTTTGGTCTCAATATATAAACAGCAGAAACAAACTTAAACCTCAAAGGACCGAACCCCATTTCCTGTACTTTCTTCACAATCTCCTTAAAACGATCATAGTAAGTCAGAAATGCTGCTGGGTGATGACAAACTGCAGTAATAATATTTGATTTGGGCACTCCATTATCCAGCGGAGTATCGATGTTTGGTAACATATAAGCATCAAGATCATAACCGATAATGAAAGGACAGCGTTGAAGAACTCTGACAGTCTTATCATCTGAATGAAGCAGATTGCTAAGGAAATCGAAGGAAGGGGTGAGTTGTTTCTCTAGGCTTGTTCTCAAAATGGTCAGGTAACGAGATAAGAACTTGGCAAGGTCAGGGTCTGAGAAGCCTCTGGAGACTTAGAATTCCCACTTGGGCAAAAGGGTTTTGTCAACATCAGATGCAAGCAACTTTGGTGACTTGTTGACCAGGGTTTTGATCTGGGTTTTCGAAAACCCTCTTTCTTCTAAGAATGAAGTGACAGAGTCGGGTTTACCTGGTCTCCAAATGCGCATTCTTGGAAGTGTTTAAAGCAGATTCTGGGGAGAACCCAAGTTTGTTTATGAGGTATGAAACCATAAATGACTGCCGATTGGAAGAGCTTGAGTTGAATCTAAGAGTGCTGGATAGTCTGAACATTAATGGATCACTCTGAAGAATGTATAAGAATTTGTAACCTTCTCTCCCATGGAAAACACTTCGACAGAGAAGATAAAGCCTGTTTATGATTTTATCCCTATGATCTCATTATCTCAAGTTTTGTCTGATGGCCATTGAGCCTGCTTGTTTCATACTGAAAGATCAGAAAACCATGAGGACCAAGCACTCCTTCACTTGGACCAAGATTCCTTGGCAAAACGACATCGGCCCCCGGCCAAATTGACTGGCATAACTCTAAACAGATGATAGAAAAGGACCTAACAGTCACATGGAAAGAGAACATTATCTGAGGCTAGTTGCATGATCAGGACAAACATGCTGAAACATGAGATGAATGCAATCTCTGATTGCAAATGGTTAGGTTGATTTGACTCTTTGCAATCCCATCTATATGAGGTTACTGCTGGAGCTGCATAACAACAGCTGAAGTCGATCTTGCTAGTTACTTGACAACAGGTACATCACTATAAATCCTTAAACACTGATAAACAAGACCATGCAGATGCAACCAAAAAAACAAAAAGATGGAAACAAATATGGTTGCATATGGAAACTCATTTCACACTGGCACTTAGAGAGAGAGCAGACCGTTGAACTTAAGGTTCACTGATGGCAGAAAAGAATACAGCTAAAAAACTTGGAGCGGTGGCATTTGCCCAATTCCAACTAAAACAAGTTTCTGATCAAAATAAGTAACTGAAAACAGGGGTAACATGAAATGGAAATTCTGAATCTTAATGGACCAAAACAAATTCAAGTCTTAGATGTGCAAATCCTACGCTGCAGTCTATGTTTAACTTACTTTTTATTTTTCTGAATATTCAATTTTTCTTTGTATGGCTTCAAGAGCTCTGGTGCTTTGTTTCAACAAACGTCTTAAGGAACACCTTGTTTGATGTGTTAAATAACCTCACGATAACGACTCTTGAGCAAACAAAGCCCTCGGAATAATCCTCTTCTCCAAGCTAATCGGAAGAACACTTGGCTGTTTGGCAACAAGAGAAGAATTGATGCCCATTTGTTCACAAGAAAATCCATTATAGCCGCAGCCTTCTCCTCCGATGCTTCCATAGAACATGGATACTTTCAAAAAGCTTCCCAAATCTCTTGGTTGGACCAACGCCACTTCCTACAAACATCACACTTCTTCTCCAGGGTGGATTGCTCGTTGATCTCAATGTAAAAGTAGCATAAACAAACCTCATTCTTCAAGAATCAATCCCCATTCCTTTGGCTTCCTCCGCAATCTCCTTAAACTGAACCGGATAAAACATAAATGATCTAGGCTGATGTTGAAGCATTGCAAAAATATTTGATTCAGGGACCCCATTTTCCCCCAAAATATTCCTATTTGGTAACAGAATAGAATCAAAATCATACACAAGAATACTGGTAAGGTAATACTATGTGTGGGAAGAAGAAACCAACTGTGTGTAACTCCTCAACAAGTTGATTTTTCCATATTGTCAGCTGAAAGGTGACAGCACTTTGTCAAGCTCCATTTTGTCTACAAGAAATAATTTGTAGTCATAAACTATTCTCAGATGCTGCCAAAAAGTACAAGTGACACCTTGGAAAAGCTAGGCAAATCTCTTCATCAGTCCAACCACACTTCTTATAAACATTAAACATCCTCTCTGATGTGGATTTACTGATTGTCTTCAATCCAGACACCGGAAAAACAAATGTAAACCTGAAAGAATTGAAACTCATTTTCTCTAATCCCCTAACTTGGTGACTATCAGCAGAATTAAAATAATTAAAACTACAATCTCAAAGCTGCATCAAAACAACAGGCAATTTTTTACCTTCATAACTCTAAACAAATGACAAACAAGACCTAATAGTTGGATGAAGAAAAACATCATTTGAAGCCAAAAGCTTGGTATCAATACGATTAATAAACCAAGATATTGGTAAGCTCTGCAAATGTGACTCATTTCACAGTTGCACTTCGAGCAAGATTATTATTTAAGAACATAAAACAGTCAGAGCACAAAGTTGAGTTCAAGTTTCACGGGTGATAAGAGTCAATACTACAAAAAGTATTGTTACAATTGCTTTCTTCAATTAGAACTGGAGCAAGTTTGAGATCAAAAAATTTAATTGGATTAAAAAATCAGCTCAATAAAAAATCTTACATTCTACAAATACCCTTTTCAATATTTGCCTCCTATTGCAAGATCCAATTTTTCTTTGTACAGCTTTAGCAGCTGTGGTGCTATGTCTTCATATCGGTTAATAAACCTCTGAATGAATACCTTTTCTGAAGTGTCAAACAATCCAGACAAGGTAAACTTCTTAATTAAACCTTTTGATAACAAATCTTGAGCAAACAAACCCCTCGGAACAATTCGCTTCTTCAAGCTCCGACCTAGAACATATGGTTGATCAGCAATGAGCAAAGACTGAAAACCCATTTTGTTCACAAGAAAATCCATTATTGCCGTAATCTTCTCCTGTGATGCTTCCATACAGTATGGATTCTTGCAAAAAGCATCCCAACTTTCTTGCTCAGACCAACCCCACTTCTTGCAGACATCCAACTTTCTCTCTAAGGTAGATTTGCTCATTTTTCTGAACATAATGACAGCACCAAGAAATTTTGTTAGCATAGGATCAAACCCCATTTCCTTCACTTCCTTCACAATCTCCTTAAACCGATCAGGGATCATGACAAATGATCTAGGGTGTTGAAGAAACATTGCTCTGATATTTGATTCAGGCACTCCATTGTCCAGCAGAGTATTGATATTAGGTAATATATACGCATCAAAATTACATGAGACAAGATATGGATAGCGTTTCAGAGATTTAACAGCCTTTTCATCAGATTGGAGCAGATTGCTAAGATAATTGAAACAAGGCATAATCTGATTCTCTAAGCTACGACAAAAAATTCTGGGGTTGCAAGATAAGAGTTTGATAAGGTCAGGGCTTGAAACACCTCTAGATCGGAAAAACTCCAGTTTGGGCAAAATGTTATTCTCAACATTACAATACAGCACAGGCGGCCGAAGCTTGACGATTTGTTGGATTTGGGTTTTTGAAAACCCATGTTTCTCCAAAAATGCGATGACAGAATCAGGTTTATCTGGGGTTTTAAAAAGGAGATACTTGGAAGCTGCCAAGGCAGATTTTTGGGAGAACCCAAATTTGTCTATGAGGTAAGAGAAGGCAAAAGATTGAGATGGGTCTGAACAAGTGTTTGAGATGCATCTAACCCTAAGAAATAAGTGTGAGTTTGAGGAGGAATTGTTCATAACAATGTATGAAAGCCTATGAAAAAGGCTACTGGTTTTCCTGGAAAGATTAAACATTTTGGAAAAGAAACAAATTAAGCTACTCGGAAAGAAAACAAACTCACCCTAAAAGCTTTCAACTTTGAACCCAGACAGGGACAGGAGGCTGCTCTTGAAACTCAAACGCTAAAGCTTCCAACTTTTCGCTTCCCGAATACCACGTCTCTCTGCTTCATGCGTCTATCTCACAGTACGTTCATTTAATTTATGTTATAAATTTAAAACCCTCAACTGAAGTTTTTGGAAACTTTTTCCAAGTTTTGAGCCTCTTATCATTTAGCCAAATTTCATTAAATTATATCACTGTATTTTTAATTTTTAAGCATAAAATAATAAAATTAATGATAATTTACCTTTTATGTTAACATATTTTGTGATATATTCAAATTTCGTATTTTTACCTAATAATTAACGAAATTGAAATTATAGTGACAAAATTTGTCATTTACATTAATAAAGTATAAATTTTGTTAAAAAAAATATTAATTGAAAATGCAATAATAATATTTAATAAAATTAAAATATACCGATAAAATTCGATATTGAGTCATATTATAGTGACGAATTTCACCTTAGCCCCTTTCTTTTTCGTTTTTCATTTGAAGAAGGGAAACCTTTCTTCTACTCCACACTCCATGGTACTTAGAGAAAGTATTATTCTAAATTGACAAGAGAATACATACTAAAATGCTTGATCCTAGTATTAAAAATGCCCAAGAGTTTGGCAACACGAAAACAAGGATGGAATATTGCCTTTCCATTTGTTTTAAATTACAGCTGTAGCACCACTTCTTCATGTGATTATGTCATAACATTGTAAGGTGTTCTTTGCCACAGCAGCATTCTTGGAACTGCAAAACTACTTTGTATGAAAACAATCTAATGAACCCAAGACATTGGTAAGCTCTGCAAATAAGACTCATTTCATCTAGTGTACCCAAGACATTGGTAAGCTCTGCAAATAAGACTCACTTCACAGTTGCACTTTGAGCAAGATTACTATTCTTCGATCAAGCACATATTAAGAAGGCATGGCAAGGACTTTCAATAACACTGAATCATAATAAGAATTACAATCATCTTTTTTCAATTTCTCCTGCACAACCATATCTCTCACTTTATTTTCAAAGAAAACATTCTTTTTATTCCGTTGAGGGCACACCAAACCTATAGTTTCTTTTGTTGTTTGAATAGCTGGATTATTCACAGGGTGGCATTTCATTGCTAATACCATACTTTAGCAAGTGCTTCTGCAAAAATGGCCAACATTAGTAGCACCTACAAACTGTCTTATGGACTCGTATTGTTACAGTTGCATTCTTTAATTCAAACAGGGGCAGGTTTGAGATCAAAGAATTCAATGGATAAACTTGATCAAAAAACTTACATTCTACAACTTCCTTGTTCTATATTTGCCTCCTGTGGCAAGATCCACTTTTTTTTTGTACAGCTTTAACAGCTCTGGTGCTATGTCTTCATATCGGTTAACAAAGCTCTGTATGAATACCTTTTCTGAAGTGTCAAACAATCCAGACAATGTATACTTCTTCAGTAAACCTTTTGATAACAACTCTTGAGCATACAGTCCCCTTGGAACAATCCGCTTCTCCAAGCTTCGACATAGAACACTTGGTTGATTGGCAATGAGCAAAGGCTTAAAGCCCATTCTGTTCACAAGAAAATCCATCGTTGCCATAATTGTTTCCTCTGAAAAGTCCATACAATGTGGAGTCTTTCGAATAGCTTCCCAAATCTCTTGTTCAGACCAACCCCATTTCTTGTAAACATCAAATTTTCTCTCCAGGATAGTTTTGCTCATTTTTCTAAACATAATGACAGCACGAAGAAATTTCATCTTCAAAGGATCAAACCCCATTTCCTTCACTTCTTTCACAATCTCTATAAACCGATCAGGGATCATGACAAAGGATCTAGGATGGTAAAGAAACATTGCTCTGATATTTGATTCAGGCACTCCATTATCCAGCAGAAAATTGATATTAGGTAACATATAAGCATCAAAATTACATGTGACAAGAAATGGGTAACGTTTTATAGCTTTAACAGCCTTGTCATCAGATTGGAGCAGATTGCTAAGGCGATTGAAACAAGGGACAATCTGATTCTCTAAGCTACGAGATAAAATAGTGGGGTTGTTAAATAAGAATTTGATAAGGTCAGGGCTTGAGACACCTCTAGATCGGAAAAACTCGAGTTTGGGCAAAAGGTTATTCTCAACCTTAGAATACAGCAGGTTCGGCCGTAACCTGATGATTTGTTGTATTTGGGTTTTTGAAAACCCATGGTTCTCCAAAAATGCAATGACAGAATCAGGTTTATCTGGGGTTTTAAAACGGAGATACTTGGCAGCCGCCAAAGAAGATTGCTGGGAGAACCCAAATTTGTCTATAAGGTAAGAGTATGCAAAAGATTGAGATAGGTCTGAACAGGTGGTTGAGATGCATCTAACTCTGAGGAATGAGGGCGACTTGTACATAACAATGTATGAAGAAAGCCTATGAAAGATACTAATGGTTTTCCTAGGAAGATTAAACATTTCGGAAATGAAATAAACAAGCTACTCCGAGAGAGAACAAACTCACCCTAAAAGCTTTCAACTTTGAAATCTGAAGGCAGACAGGACAGGAGGATGCCAAAGCTTCAAGCTTTTCAATTCCCCAATATCAAGTCACTCTCTGGCTATTCTGTTTCAAGGTTAGTGCTGCTCACAGCCCGTGTTAATTTAATATCATGGGAGTCTTGGACATCTATATATACATATATATATATATATATGTAATTAATTAATTATTTTATCTTTAAATTAATTTTTTTACTATTTTATTTTTATTTAATTTCATATTAATTTTCACTTATCAAATTTTTTGATTAAATTTGATAAATTTCTAAATTATTTAAAAAAAATTTTTATCGTATTCAATCAATTATTTATATTTTATTTTAAATTAAATAGAGCTTATAATTAATAGTTAATTAATTATCATTAAGTAAAATAGTTTTTATCATTTTATACTCATATGACATTAATTTGAAGGTATAAAATATCATATAATTATGTTATAATGTCATATTGATATATCATGTTATCATTTATTATAAAATGTTAATATGTCATATCAACATTACGTGATATAGAATAATAAATAAAATTTTAACTATTAATAGTTAGTTAACTATTAACAATAAAAATTTATTTAGTTTAAAATAACACTATCAGGACTTAATTAAATATAATAAAAATAAAAATTCTATTTAAATATTTTTTAAATAATTTTGAGACATCTTTAAGTATAATACTTTTTTTTACTATTATATTACCCTTTTTGATATGCTTATTTCTCATGTATAGATCCTTGCTTCTACTTTATTTCATAATTTTTTGGGATTAGGATAAAATTTGTATGAGTCAATATTGAATTTTGTTATCGTGCTTCAATTTTATTGAATTATGTTATTGCACATTTGTTTTATTGATTTTTGAACCCAAAATAACAAACTAAACAAATTGTACTTTAATATTATCAAAACATTTCTTGAAACATTCAAATTTCCTTACTTTTTATCTAAAAATTAAAAAAAAAACCTAAATTTAGAGTGACAAAAATTTCCATTTACATTAATATTTTGATTTCATTACTTTTTATCCAAAATTAAGTAATTGAAAGTACAATGACACCATTTAATAAAGTTGAAATATATTAAAAAAAAAACTCAATATTAAGTCATATTGAATTAACAAGTTTCACTTTAGTACCTCTTCTTTTTTTTAATTTGAAGAAGGTAACCTTTCTTCTACTTCATACTTCACAGTACTTAATTAATAATCAAAAGGAGAAGAAAAATTGCAATATTGTTATGATTAATATAAAAAATGGAGCTAATCATTTAAAAAGTCATATGTTTTGCTCATATTTTTGTGAACAATGAGTTATTATCATAAAAAGGAGAAAGAATAATTTTGCATTGAATATGATTTATCCTAGCACCAAAAGAGAATAATTTTACATTGAATATGATTGATCCTAGCACTAACAAAGGGCCATGAGTTTGGCAACATGAAAACCTGGATTGGATTATTGTCTTCCCATTTGTTTTCAATTACAGCAGCAGCACCATTTCTTCATGTGATCACCTTGTAAGGTTTTCTTTGCCACGGCAGCATTCTTGGAGCTGCTAAACTACTTGGTATCAATACAATCTAATGAACGAAGAGATTTGTAATTTGCCGCGGCAGCATTCTTGGAGCCCCTACACTGCCTGGTATCAATACAATCTAATAAACCAAGAGATTTGTAAGCTCTGCAAATGAGACTCATTTCACAGTTGCACTTTGAGCAAGATAACTATTCTTCAATTAAGCACATAAAACAGTTAGAACAAGATAACAAGAATCAATGCTACTTAAAAGTGTTGGTAATACTTGCATTCTTCAATTCAAACAGGAGCAAGTTTGAGATCAAACAATTCAATTAGATAGAAGAATCAGCTACATCAAAAAACGAACTACCCGGTATCAATACAATCTACTGAACCAAGAGATTTGTAAGCTCAGCAAATGAGACTCATTTCAAAGTTGCACAATCTAATGAACCAAGAGATTTGTAAGCTCTGCAAATGAGACTCATTTCACAGTTGCACTTTGAGCAACATAACCACTCTTCAATCAAGCACATAAAACAGTCAGAGCGAGATAACAAGAGTCAATGCTACTTAAAAGTATTGGTAATAATTGCATTCTTCAATTCAAATAGGAGCAAGTTTGAGATCAAACAATTCAATTAGATAGAAGAATTAGGTACATGAAAAAACCTACTTGTTCAGTATTTGCCTCCTATGGCAAGCTTCACTTTTTCTTTGTACAGCTTTAGTAGCTGAGGTGCTATGTCTTCATATCGGTTAATAAACCTCTCAAAGAACGTCTTCTCTGAAATGTCAAACAATCCAGACAATGTAAACTTCTTCGTTAAACCTTTTGATAACAACTCTTGAGTATACAATCCCCTTGGAATAATCCGCTTCTCCAAGCTCCGACATAGAACACTTGGTTGATTGGCAATGTGCAAAGGCTTAAAACCCATTCTGTTCACAAGAAAATCCATTCTAGACATAATTGTTTCCTCCGAAAAATCCACACATTGTGGATTCTTTCGAATGGCTTCCCAAATCTCTTGTTCAGACCAACCCCACTTCTTGTAAACATCAAATTTCCTCTCCAGTGTAGGTTTGCTCATTTTTCTAAACATAATTACAGCACGGAGAAATTTCATCAACAAAGGATCGAACCCCATTTCCTTCACTTCCTTCACAATCTCCTTAAACCGATCCGGGATCATGACAAAGTATCTAGGGTGGTGAAAAAACATTGTTCTGATATGTGATTCAGGCACTCCATTATCCAACAGAATATTGATATTAGGTAACATATGAGCATCAAAATTACATGTGACAAGACGTGGATAGCGTTTTATAGCTTTAACAGCCTTGTCATCAGATTGGAGCAGACTGCTAAGGTGATTGAAACAAGGGACAACCTGATTCGCTAAGCTACGAGTTAAAATAGTAGGGTTGTTAAGTAAGAATTTGATAAGGTCAGGGCTTGAAACACCTCTAGATCGGAAAAACTCGAGTTTGGGCAAAAGGGTTTTCTCAACATTAGAAGACAGCAGATTCGGCCGTAACCTGATCATTTGCTGGATTTGGGTTCTTGAAAACCCATGTTTCTCCAAAAATGCAGTGACAGAATCAGCTTTATCTGGGGTTTTAAAACAGAGATACGTGGAAGCTGCCAAAGCAGATTCTTGGGAGAACCCAAATTTGTCTATAAGGTAAGAGTATGCAAAAGATTGAGATAGGTCGGAACAAGTGTTTGAGATGCATCTAACTTTGAGAAATAAGAGTGAGTTTGAGGAGGAGTTGTTCCTGACAATGTATGAAACCCTATGTAAGATGCTATTGTTTTTCCTAGAAAGATTAAACATTCTGGAAATGACACAAATTAAGCTACTCAAAGAGAGAACAAACTAACTCACCCTAAAAGCTTTCAACTTTGAACCCTGAATGCAGACCGGGACGGCAGGCTGCTCTTGAAACTCAAAGGCCATAGCTTCAAACTTTACAATTCCCAAATGTCAGGTCACTGTGCGTCTACTCTATAACCCCTTTCTATCTCGCAGGGTCGCGTTATACACGGAAATTACCGCTATTAATTTATGTAAATTTTTCCCAAGATTTAACCCTCTTATCATTTTGCCAAAAAGCAAAAAAAAAAAAAAACTTTTTTTTAGTGTATTACACTTCTTGAGATGCTCATATCCAATGTCTAGATTCTTATTTGTACATCATATTTGTTTACACTAAGATCAAGTTTACCACTGTATTATGTATGATTGTATTTCAATCTCATTGAAATTTGTTATTTTATTTTTAATTTTGTTGATTTTTAAACCTAAAATCATGAAATTGATGAAAATTTACCATTTACACTGAGCAGAATTTTTTGTAAAATATTTTAATTTCGTTATTTTTATCCAAAAATTTTACAGAACTGAAAGTGCAATGACAAAATTTGTCATTTTACATTAACAAAGTATTTATGTAAAAATCACTTCTTGTTCAACAAATGAAGTGATTGAATGTTCAGTGACAAACATTCAATAAGTATACTAACTAAACACAATATTGAGTCATAGCACCTTAATCCCTAAATTGTTTTTCCCCATTTGAAAAAGGGGAAACCTTTCTCCTACTTCCTACTTCTTGGTACTTAATTAATAATCCAAGGGATTAAAAAGGGAAAGTGCAATATTTGTTATGATGATGATAAAAATATGGAGCTAATCATTTAAAAGAACATAAGTTTTGCTCACTTCTTTGTGAATAATGAGTTATCATCATAAACAGGAGAAAGAATAATTCTAAATTGATAAGAATAGACACTAATATAATTGATCCTAGTATTGAAAAAGCCCAAGAGCTTGTTCTAAATTATAACAGCAGCACCATTTCTTCATATGATCCATGTCAAACCCTTGCAAGGCTTCTTTGTGACAGTAGCATTTTTGGAGCTGCTAAGCAACTTGGTAGGAGGTGGAGGAGAGGATGATTTCAGCTGCCAAAATTGCAAGAATGTCAAGCCAAATTCATAGTAGGATCATACAAAAACTGCAGATGAGAGGCCAAAGCAAGGAATGATATAAACTCATCATAAATCATTCATGAATTTGGAGACAGCATTGGTAGTATAATATAAACAAGAGACTCACAAGGGAAGATAAAGGGCAGCATTAGGCAAAGAGTCCTATAGCTGAAATTCAAGACTCACTAATGACAGAAAATGGATATTGCTCAAAATTTCTGATTAGTTGCACATTCATGAATTCAAGAATTCAACAAGGATCAAAGGACAACTTCTACGATATCTGTATTTTGCCCTTGCCTCCTACTGCAAGGTTATATTTTTCTTCATACAGCTTCAACAGCTCTGGAGCTTTTTCTCCATAGGCATACACAAACCTGCTCAGGAACAACTCCTCCGAAGACTCAAACAATTTTGGCAACCGAATTTTCTTCTTAAGTAAACCTCTAGACAACAAATCTTGAGCAAACAAACCCCTCGGAACAAGCCTCTTCTCTAAGCTCATTGCCATTATACGAGGGTATTTCGCCAGGGATGACACCTCGAAACCCATTTTGCTCATAAGAAAATCCATTACAGCCATAATTTTATCCTCGGAAATTGTCATTATCAAAGGATTTCTTCTAAAAGCTTCTAAAACTTCTTCCTCAGACCAACCACACTTCTTAAAAGTATCAACCTTTTTCTCCAAAGTGGACTTGCTCAATGACCCCAATGCATAGACAGCTACAAGATAAATAACCCTCTCAGGATTGAAACCCATTCCCTTTAATTTCTCAGCATTCTCCTTGACCTGGACTGGAGCTCGGAAGAATGTTTTAGGCAGCCAATGGAGTAATTTAACAATGTTATATTCAGGCACTCCAGTATCTCTCAGAATATTGATATTAGGCAAAATATAAGCATTAAAATCATAGGAGAAAATTCGAGGATAGAGTTTTATAGCATTGATGACATCCTCATCAGACAGAAGCATATTTCTAAGCAAGTTAAAAGAAGGGATAATTTGTTTCTCCAAGCTAATAGCCAAAATAGTTGGATATTTAGATACGAATGTGGTAAGGTCAGAACCTGAAGCACCTTTCGAGTAAAAAAACTCCACTTTAGGCAAAAGGATTTTCTCAACATCATATAAAAGCAACGCTGGCCGCCTCTTGGAGATGGTTGCTATTTGGGTTTTTGAGAAACCATGGTTCTTGAAAAAGGTAAGGACAGAGTCGGGCTTATGTGGGGTTTCAAAGTTGACAAATTTAGAGGCATGCGAAGCAGATTCCGGAGACAACCCACAAGTGTTAATGAGGTAAGAAACTGTAAAAGATTGCTGCTGATTTGAAGTCGAGGAAAATAATCTGAGAGATAAAATCGATGGGTTCTTTCGAAGAGTGCAGAAAAGTTTCATAGTTTGAGGGGCTGTGATCTTGTCCCTCCCATGGAGAAGAGTTTTGCTGATAAAACAAAACATAGGAATTGAAATTAAAGCAATGACAGAACAGAATCACCTGAGACAAATCCGTTCTGCGACTGCCAAGGAGCGAAGTTTTGAATTCCAGCAGAGAAACTCACGAGTCAAACAAGTTTGGCAAACCTACGTTAACCCACTTGGACTGAAGGGTTTTTTTTCGGGGTAAAACATAAACGGCTGTGCTTTGATCCTTTGTTTGGGGTTGTATTCTGCCCATATGCGTGTAACTTAATAATCTTGATGGGGCTCATGTGAACCGTTTAATGTGAACAAGACCAATGGCAGTGCTAACTTTCTTTTGGTAATAATAATTTGTAAAGCATTTTTAGCCAACAGCAAAGATTGAAGGATTGCAATCCTCTTGTAGTACTTAGCTTTCGAAGTGGTAAAAGTTGATGGATAACAATAACTTATACTGATATACTGTTGTGACAGAGCGATGAGCCAAACTTCATTTGAAGAATTACACAGAAATCAATCATCCTTGGGAAGAATCTTTTGCTTTAAATTGTCCAAAAATCCCAAAATTTTTAGATAAATTTTAAAGCATAATAAGGTTTCCTCTCACACCAGTTATCGTTGGAGGCTAGCCGCTGCTTAACCACTTGGGAGGTGGAGTGAAATGATTCAATTTCCATTTTGTAGGATATCATGCCACCACTTTAAAGCATGCAGCCTTTGGCAAAGCATGTAGGTTTGTTTTCCCTCTGGTGGCATCCTATATTCCTATTGCCAATCATTGCAATGGCAAGGCATGTAAGTTTTATACCCTCTGGTGGCAACATACTGCCAACCATTGCACTTACTCATCACAGATGCAAAGAAAGCAAGTTCAAGGAGTTCATCAGGTTGGCTACACAGATTAGCGTAGTAAAAACTCCAAATTCATGTTTAAAATGACAGAAAATAATGGAATTTGGGTTTCACAACCCCTCCTATTTAGCTTTCATATTACTATCTCCTAACCCACAGTCCCTGCACAACCAAAAGGAAGAAACAAAAAACTGTAGAACAGAAAATAAACCAGAAAAACACAATATTATCATGTATAGGTTTCTTGAGATTACAAGCTTTTCTTGGAGCTTCTTAACCAGTTGGGGATGGAGGATAATGGTGCGGTTTCTGAATAGCAAAATATTAAACCAATCTTTAAATATGCTCCCTGCTAACACATGGCAGGAGAAGGTGCAACCACAGGAGTACAGATATCAGGACAAACAATAATTATAACTTGAGAAATTTTTCCCGCATCAGCATTTGGAGACAAAGATAGCACATAATAGCATAGCAAATTATCAGAGCACATGGTCGACTTCAAGCTTCACTAAAGGCAGAAAAGTTAAAAGCAAAAAATTTCCATGAGCAGCATTTCTAGCCTAAACCAAGCACATTTCAGATTAAAGAATCAAACTCAATCGAAGTAACATGAGGAAAATCTGAATGTAAACGATCTATAAATGCTGCAGCTTCTATCAACCAATTTTCCAGTTTTTCGAATGATTGAGCTTCTCTTGATATAGCTTTACCCGCTCAGAGGCTTCTGCTTTAAAGCGGTTGACAAATTTCTCTATAAATAAATCATCCGAAGTCTCCAACAAAGCTTGCAAGTTAACATGCTTTATAAGCCCTTTGGACAACAGATCTTAAGCAAACAGACCCCTAGGAACAATCTTTTTATCCAAGCTCATCATCAATATACGGGGATGTTTGGCGATAAGCAAAGATTGAAAACCCATTTTGTTCACAAGGAAATCTATTGTCACCATAAATTTATCCTCAGACACTAACAAACGAGGGATACCTTCGAAAAGCCTCAAAAGCCTCTTTCTCAGACCAACCAAACTTCTTAAAAACTTCAAACTTCTTCTTCCAAGTTGATTTGCTCATTGAACTCATTGCAAAGAGTGCTACCATAAACATTGGCTAGGAGGGATGAACCCCATTTCCTTTGCTTCATCTACCATATCCTTAAACTGAATTGGACCTCTCATTAATGTTGAAGGCAATGAATGAAGTGTTGTAACAGTATTACATTCAGGCACTCCATTATCCAGCAGAAGATTTATATTGGGTAACAAAATAGCATTAAGATCATAAGACAATAGGCGTGGATAGCGTTTTACAGCATCAATAATCTTCTCCTCAGACAGGAAATTACTAAGGCAATTAAAAGAAGGGATTATTTGTTTCTCTAAACTTGACCCCAAAATAGTTGGGTTATCAGATAAGATTTTGACGAGGTAAGGGCTTGAAGCACCTTTAGAGCGAAAAAACTCAAGTTTAGGTAAAAGCGTTTTCTCGATATCAGATACAAGCACTACCCGCCTTCTCTTGATTAAGCGGGTGATTTGGGGTTCTGAGAAACCGTGGTTCTTGAAGAAGGCAATGACAGTGTCAGCTCTATCCGAGGTTTTAAACTGAACATACTTGGCGGCAGTTAAAGCAGATTCTGAGGACAACCCACATTTCTTTTTAAGGTATGAAACAGTAAATGGCAGCTCTTTCGAAGAGCTTGAAATGCATCTGAGACTAAGAGATGCAAATACTCCTAAAAGTGACGATGGGTCGTTTTTGGAAACGCATAAAACTTTGTGACTTTGAGAGGCTGTAGCAGCGAGTCTCCCATGGAGAATTCTTTTGCAGAGAAAGTAAAACATAGGGATTAGAACTACAAACTAGAGAAGGAATTTACCTGTTTCTGGAGATTAAAAATTTGTTCTTTGAAAATGGGCAGATTCTGAATTCCAAGAAGAAACGCCCACCCGTAAGGCGGCAACCATGACAGACTGATCCTTTTTGGAGTCGACTGTTTAGAGACCCATGGTTCTGAAGCTGTTGAGGACAAAAATGAGATAATATGCTGTTTTCTCCTTTCAACAAAACCTTAGCCTTTCCCGTTCTTTTATCTAAGATTTTCTATGCTTAATGCACATGAAAATTTTCTTGTGAAGAAGTATGTTAAGCCATAAGCTTCTTCATTATATAAATTTCAATCGTATTAACTTGCTTTACATTGAACTTTGCCTGGAGTGAAGAACTTTAGTACCATATGCCGACATATATGGTTGCTTTGGGGGCCATCAAAGAAATATCTGCATAGCCAGTTCTATCTGTGTACGAATTCTAACACGTCGGGGGTTTGAAATCCTCATGTTTCTTATCCAATTCGCAAGGTGGGACTCTTAATTAGTTTGTTTGACATATTTAACTTGGTGCAACGTTTTTAATATTGATATTAAATATATCTATTCAGAGAGAAAACTTGAATTTAAAATCATAAGAGTGCGTAATAGGTAAGTGATGAAAATTCCAAGTATAATAAAGTTTCCTCTTACACCAGTCATTGTTGGAGGTTAGGAGCTGCTAAACCACTTGGGAGGAAAACTAAAATGATTCAATTTCCATATTGTAGGATATAAGTAGAATCTTTGCAGCGTATTGCCTTTTGAGCCTTGCATAGTAGGCTACTAGGCAAAGTCTGTAGGTTTTTTTTTCCTCTGGTGGACTCCTACTGCCAACCATTGCACTGGCAAAGCATGTAAGCTTTATACCTTCTGGTGGCAACCTACTGCCAACCATTGCACTTACTCATCACAGAAGCAAAGAAAGCAAGTTGGAAGAGTTCACAGGTTGGCTACACAAAGATTAGCATAGTCAAGAACTACAAGTTCAATGTTCAAATGACAGAAAACAATGAAATTTTGGTTTCACAACCCTTCCTATTTAGCTTCCATTCTACAATCTACTATCCCACAGTCCCTGCACAACCAAAAGGAAAGAAACAAAAAACTGTAGAACAGCAAAAGAACCAGAACAACACAACCTTTTCTTGGAGCTTTTTAACAACTTGGGGCTGGAGGATTATGGTACAGTTCCTGAATAGCAGGATATTAAACCAATCCTTAAATATGCTCCTTGCTAACACATGGCAAGAGGGGGTGCAACTACAGAAGTACAGATACCAGGCCAAACAATAATTATAACCTGAGAAATTTGCCTCGCATCTGCATTTGGAGACAAAGATAACACATGATAGCACAGCAAATTGTCAGAGCACATAGTCGAATTCAAGTTTCACTAATGGCAGAAAAGAATAAAGTAAAAATTTGTATTAGCTGCATTTCTAACCTAAGCCCAAGCAAAGTTTCAGAATAAAGAATCAAACTCAATCAAAGTACCATGAGGAAAATCTGAATCTCTTAATGTCAACGATCCATAAACGCTGCAGCTTGTATCAACCAATTTTCCAGTTTTTGGAAAGATTGAGCTTCTCTTTATATAGCTTTAACAGCTCAGAGTCTTCTGCTTTAAAGCGGTTCACAAACTTCTCAACAAATAAATTGTCTGAAGTCTCGAACAAATCCTGCATGTTAACACGCTTGATAATACCTTTGGACAACAAATCTAGAGCAAACAGACCCCTAGGGACAATCTTTTTATCCAAGCTCATCATCAGTATACGGGGACGTTTGGCGAAAATCGAAGATCGAAAACCCATTTTATTCACAAGGAAATCCATTGTCAACATAAATTTATCCTCAGACACCTTAATAAACATGGGATACCTTCGAAAAGCTTCCAAAGCCTCTTTCTCAGACCAACCAAACTTCTTAAAAACTTCAAACTTCTTCTTCCATGTTGCTTTGCTCATTGAACTCACTGCAGAGAGTGCTACCATAAACATTGGCCTGGAAGGGATGAATCCCATTTCCTTTGTTTCCTCTATCATATTCTTAAACTGAATTGGACTTCTCATTAATGTTGAAGGCAGTGACTGTAGCGTTGTAACAATTCTATATTCAGGCACTCCATCATCCAGCAGAAGATCGATATTAGGTAATAAAATAGCATTAAGATCATAACATAAAAGGCGTGGATAGCGTTTTACAGCATGAATAATCTTCTCATCAGACTTAAGTAAATTACTAAGACAATTAAAAGAAGGGACAATTTGTTTCTCTAAGCTTGACCCAAAAATTGCTGGGTTATCAGACAATATTTTGATAAGGTCAGGGCTTGAAGTACCTTTAGAGCGCAAAAACTCAAGTTTGGGCGAAAGGGTTTTCTCCACATCATATAAAAGCACTACCGGCCGTCTCTTGATGAGGCGGATGATTTGGGGTTCTGAGAAACCGTGGTTCTTAAAGAAGGCAATGACAGTGTCAGCCCTATCCGAGGTTGCAAACTGAACATATTTGGCGGCATTTAAAGCAGATTCCGACGACAACCCACATTTCTTTTTAAGGTAAGAAACTGTAAATGGCTGCTTCTTTGAAGAGCTTGAAATGCATCTGAGAGTGACAGATGCAGATACTCCTACAAGTGACGATGGGTCGTTTTGGGAAACGTATAAAACTTTGTGACTTTGAGAGGCTGTAATAGCGTGCCTCCCATGGAGAATTCTTTGGCAGAGTAAGCAAAACATGGCGATTGGAACTAAGCTAACGAGGGAAGGAATTTTACCTGTTTCTGGAGATTAAAAATTTGTTCCTTGAAAATGTACCGATCCAAATTTGGGCCTAAAGCCCTTGCTTGGGTGGCATTACCCAAGGGCCGGCCCTGCTATCAAGGTTTGGAGTGATTAGAGGTTGCGTTTCACATGACAGAAGATCGGTTGACACAAAGCATCCACCATTAATTCAACACTACAATCTCCTCACCTTGTTGTTCATTTCCCACCCAGCCTAGAGGAAATTCGAAAGAAACAAAAAGTGAGAAGAACAATATCAACCAAAGAAGTGTTGATCTATTATTCCTCAAAGACCAACCATTCCTAAACAACTTAGGCATAGGAACTTACAATTGCCTTGAACAAAATATAACACCAACTAAGAATCTCATTGTGCAATTGCACTTTTATGACAGCGAGATGAGATATAACAGCACAGTTAAGAGTCAGAGCTTAGTTGAGTTCAAGCTTCACTAACAGCAGAAAAGACTACAGATAACAATTTTGTATTTGCTACATTCAAGACCTACAGCAGAAGCAAGCTTCACATTAACATGAGGAAAATCTGAATACTAGTAACTTATGGAAATTGTAGGTAAGGCATGTAGCCAGCTTTAGTGTGAAGTTTGTTAATAGCATAAAAGAGAGGGATTTCAGGTGGATTGTAACAGCAATCATTTTGTCTAGCATTAATTGCTTGTGATTTGATTTCATTCCTCTATTGGTTGTTGCCTCAATGACATTGCAACACATATTTTTAGCTCTCGGCCGCAAGAAGATGTTGAATACATATATATATAATATATATAATACTAGTTTTTTTTTTTATATATATAATTGGAGAAGAGGATATTCAAATCTTATTTTTTAGGCTGACAGATTATGTATCAATTAATGAACCAAATGCTCAGGTGTAATGTATATAATACTAGTTAATAGTTGAAATTTTATTATTTATGAACTTTTATTTCACATTCAAATATTCATACATTTGTTGCTATATACAGTACTAGTTAATAACTAAGAGGCCTTACTATACATAAGATTTGTTGCTCAAGCATTCAAGTAAAAAAAATCAAGTTTTTATTTATATTCATAGCATCATGCCATGAAAGAATTAAAGGGGTAGTCTGATAGTAAATATTGAACAAATTCATTTTCATGCATTAAGTTGAAGTTGTTTGCAGTAAGTACCAACGGGTGTTGTATTAAATCAAATTATTTAAATGATTTAACTTGCTTTATTTGTATTAAAATAAAAATAATATTAAAAGAATTTAATTTAAAAGAAAAATATTTAAATAAAATTTTAATCTCAATATAATATAATTTTAATTTAGATGAAAAATATTGAAATAAAATTTTAATCTTAATCTGATCTAATTTAAATATACATAATAAAGTTTAAGAATTCAAATCAAATTATACTCTTGCAAAGTTCAAATCAAATTATACCCTTATAATTAGTGTGTTAGTTTTACGTTTGATTATTTATATTAATATTTGAGTGTGTATTATGTAGTAAGGATTTATTTATAGATATAAATAGAACTTATAAGATAAAATTAATATTAAAATAATTTAATTTGAATAGATAATATTTAAATAAAATTTTAATTTTAATGTAATTTAATTTAGATATAGATAATCAAGTTTAATAGTTTAAATCAAATTATACTCTTGTAATTGATCAGCTTGAATTAACTGATTTGATCTGATTTATATAAACAATAATATAATAAACATTCACACTTATATCTATAACATTTAAAACTTAAAAAATATCTTTTTTGAAATTTTGAGAACAAGTACTATTTTTTCGGGTAGAATGTTCTCAGCCTTGACGGCTACAGAGTGGAGCGCGTGGGCATCGCGTGCATTGGCAATTGAAACCATTTTCTCAAACCAGAAACCTTGTTCTCGGACCAATCGCAATCAAGTTTCCCACCCCCCCTGGAATTCGTCCGGGCAGCAGCAAATACGAAGTTCATCCTCATAGGATTCAACCCCATTTTCCTTCACTTTCTCTACAGTTTCCTTAACCTGGATTGAACTTCTCAAGAATGTTCTAGGCTTTGAACTGGCATGCCTCCTGCTAGTGAAGGCTAAAGGGTTTCAGTTGTATACTATTTCTTTTATTTTGGATTGGCTTTGCAAGTCCAAAATATTTAACACCTTTGGCCCAAAAAAAGAAATGATAAAAATTGCCAAAAAAAATCAAGTAATATATAAAAATATTCCCTGTTGGTAGAAGAAAATGGAATCCCAAATATTATAGTAAGCAAAAGAATGTTAAAACTAATCCACTTTCTAGTTATTTTGTAAGATAAAAAATTTTCATTCTCAATTCATCTTCACATTTGGTTCAAAGGGTCATTGTCCATCAAGATAAAACTTGCTTTCTATGATGGTGATTGGGTATAATAATGAAGTTGATTGTAAGGAAATCATTTTCTTTCAATGAGTGGTTCAATTTAGTTTAAACATAGACTTAAGGTTCAGAGACATAAAAAGGATGTGTTTCAGTTAACAGATAATAAATTGAGACAAAGTATACAGTGTTAATTCAGTGCTAAAATCTCCCCACATTCTCCTTCCCTACCAGGAAGTCCAAACACCAAGTATTCATTAAGAAGGCAATCATCATATAATTTCTTGTGATTATCAGCCTTTCTTGGAAGCTGCTACACCACTTGGGAGATGGATGACAGTGATTTAACTTCAAATACAAATTACCAGTTATCAAACCAATCTTCCAGCACACTGCTTGCAGAGATGCACATAGCATAATAATATGCAATTGTATACAAGCGGCAAACCAGGCACATGACTACTTAAAAGACAGCAAGATTGAGATATAATAGACAGCAAACGGTAAGAGCAAGTGCTTTCATTCAAGTTTTATGAATGGCAGAAAAGGATAGGAGAAAAAATATTGAATTGACTGCATTGATGACTTTAATCTGAAATAATTCCAAAATAACAGAAGTCAACTTGATCAAATTAACATAAGAAAGACGATTTGAATCTTAATGTCAAGATTTCACATATGTTGAAGCCTGCATATCCGATTTCCACTTACTTGAAAGATCCAATTTTTCTTGGTATAGCTCTAACAGCTTAGGAGCTTCTGCCCCATAGCAGTTAATAAACTTGTTAAGAAACACTTTCTCTGAACTCAGAAACAATGAACTCAAGTTAAAGTTCTTGACAAATCCTTTTGACAACAGCAGATCTTGAGCAAACAAACCTCTTGGGAGAATTTTCTTTTCCAAGCTCGACATCAGAACACGAGGGTGTTTGGCAATAGCAGAAGACTTAAAACCCATTCTGTTCACAAGAAAATGCATCATTATCATAATTTTTTCCTTAGATGTACTCATACAATAGGGTTGCAAGCGAAAAGCTTTGAAAATCTCTTCCTCAGACCAACCCCACATCTTATAAGTATCAAACTTCATCTCCCATGTTGATTTGGACATTGAAGTACATACAAAAAGAGCTGCAAGATAACTCTTATTCATAGGATTAAATCCCATCTTCTTCACTGTCTCCACAATCTCCATAAACTTAACTGGAGATCTCAATAATGTTTGAGGTTGCATACGAAACATCAAAATAATATTTGATTGGGGCACTCCAATATTTCTCAAGACATTAATGTTAGGCAAAACATAACTTTCAACATCATAGGAGATTAATCGAGGGAGACGTTTGAGAGCATAAACAGTATCCTCATCAGATTGAAGAAGATTACTAATGAAATTAAAGGCAGGGATAATTTGTTTCTCTAAACTAGTCACAAAAATAGTAGAGTAAGCAGTGAAGATTCTAACTAAATCTGAGCTTGAAACGCCTTTAAAGCGAAAAAATTCAATTTTGGGCAAAAGGGTTTTCTCAGCCTTACATACAAGCACTGATGGACGTTTCTTGATCACTCTAGTGATTTGGGTTTTCGAGAAGCCTTGGTTCTTGAAGAAGGAAATGACAGAGTCAGGATTTTCCGGGGTTCTAAAGTAAACATGTTTTGCGGCAGTCAAAGCTGATTCTTCAGAAAACCCACATGTTTCAATAAGATATGAGACGGTAAAAGATTTTTGATCTGAAGAGGCTGAGATGCATCTGAGAGACAACATCAATGGTGGGTAGTTTCGAAGAGTTGTTATGCTGTGCATCCTCCCATGGAGAACAGTTTTGCGAAGAAAATAAAACATTGGGTATTGAGATTTCAAAATCGGCAAGAGACGTAACTCACCTACGGATGACAAAAACTCCCTCAATTATATTATCTGAGATTCCAGTACATTTCCAGACAGCACTGTTTCAGCCACTGATACAGGCGGCGCCTCCCATCTTCTGACCGTCAAGCTATTGACCAGAAGGAAAACATAGTGCTTTTTATCAAAATTTCAAGAAAAGTTACCTCCTCTAAAAATATCTTCTTTTTTTTCAATAAATTTTGTATTGGGGAAAAATTGTCTAAAGCCTAGTGCAGATATAAATTTTAGTAAGGTAGTATTACACTATTACTACTATAGATTCTAGTGTTCTTTATCATTTATTTTTAAGGAAAAAATAACTTCAATTTTAATCAAAATTTTAACTAAATCCATTATTTATGCTTAAAAAAAATCTTCTTCTAAACATATAAGTCTAACAGGTAATGTTTTTATTAATTTAATGATATGATAATATTAAAATAATAATTTTATCTTTTATTAATTTAAAAAATTCTTTTTATTAATTTAAAAAAAATAAAAAATTCTTGGGAGCCGAGAGCATTGATCCGTACTCATTTTTTTTCAAAAAATAATTATTTAAATTAATAAAAAATATTTTAATCTTTTATTAGTGTTTACATTTTTAAAACAGAATACCTATTTCAAAAACTAATAAATTCATCTAAAATTTTAATTAAAACTTAAAAATGTGAAAGTATTTTACCCTATTTTTAATGTTGTTGCCTCAAATATGTTTGGTTTTCATCTAATAAACTTTCTGTAGTCATTTTTCAGTGCAGTTACACTTATGATGAAATGATTTCCCAGAAAACCATATTGAAGAGAGGTAGGATAATGCTTGAATGAAAACCAAAGCTAAAATTTGCATACTCAACTCTCAAAGTCAAATATAAATTCTCTCATACTTTATGCTTGAATCATGAAGTTCAAGGTCTTAGTTGTGGATGTATCAAGAATTCACAGGCCCTGTGCCTTGAAATGCCACTAAAGAGAACAATATCTCCTGTTATTTCACCATTTCAACTGAGATAGATAATGATACAAAATCACTGCCACAACAACAAAGATTCAAAGATGTGTCAAGGAGAAACCTATCACTAATGTTTAAGAATAACAAATTGATTAGCCAAGAAAAAGAAAACTCTTAAGTTTTAAGGGCCTGGAGGTCAAATTGCCTGAAAGAAACCAACCCAGAGAAACACCCTTCCATAAATAGCAGTCCAGAATCTGATTCTCTTCTTCGGACTTCTTGTTGATCCTTTCCGCTTCTTTGGTGATCCTCCTTTTTTCAAAGCCTACGACTATTTTTTCTTCAATAACACCTAGCATAAGCATTAATCCGGATCATAGTTTGACCTTCTTTTTAGGCCTTTTCAATGTACACTCATGATCCTCCACCACCTGCAACACTAAAGGCTTGTCATTTGATCAATCAAGAGCGGAATACAGGGCAAAAAATATGGTTGGAATTATAAAACCAAAAAAGCAACCATCTTTTTTTTGTTCTTCTTCTTCTTCTTCTTCTTCTTCTTGTCCTTTTTGTCCTTGCTTTTCCTCTTCTTATCCTTTTTTGGTTCAAGTTTTTCCAATTTACCCTCTTCTGAAGAATCCTGCCAAATTGATAGATGGAAAACAAATTTAGAAGGAAAACATGACAAGAGTTTTGGCATGGATGATGTATCAATTACAAAATGGTAGAGCTAAGGCACCTCAGAGTCACCAAAGGAATCTACATGTCGAATTGTTCTTCCTGAATTTGAAGCCTTACCTGCACATACACAGAACAAATGAAATGAGAACAAACTAATTACATACTTAAGTTGCACATGCTAAAGCAGATCAAATTAGCACATAGAAACAACCTAAACAAACTTATACTAGCTAAACTGCCATTTAACATATCTAATATTACAGCATCTGGATAAGAGTGAAGAAACTGTGACAAAAAGAGAATCACTAATGAACCATGAAATATGATCTCAAGCATTGCCCATGGACCCCTAAACCCTCTCTATTCCCTTCTTTTCCCAATCAACCAAGCCAACAGTTTCATCTTTTCCACACAAATTGCTCCAGAAGAATAAATAAACAGTGGAACAAGCTGGTAGAAATTAGTTGAAAAATAAATGAATCAAATCCAAGGAACTTAGAGTCCATTCAACAATTAAATCAAGTCAAAATCAGGTCCAATTCTATTTTAACTGCAAGATTCAGGAAACTTGACAAAGCAAAAAAAAAATTCATCCCATTCCACAATTGATAAAAACAAAAACAACCCAAATTAAAGTTAAGAGTAGAACTGCAAAAAAAAAAAATACTTTGAAAGACGGTCGCTTTAGCATTATTGACAGCCAATTCAAGAAGGTCAGGATTGATAGAAGACAGGCCATTGGGATCTTGGAGTTTCCTTTCGAGGAATTTAGCCAAAGCAGCAGCTTTGTTCGTCGTTAAAGGCCCTCCTGGATGAGCCAATCTGAAAACATATTACAACACAGATCAAGGAGAGCGAGAGAAAGAGAGAGGAATAGAAAAACCCTAACCCTAAAAGATTAGAAGAAAAGCGTACCTAGGTTGAGAACGGGAAAGGGAAGGGAGAGGAGCGAATTTGCTTCCTCTAAGTGCCTTCCTTTCTTCTTCGCTTAGTTCTTCCATTTCTCTTCTCCCCATTCTCTCTCCGCAAGCACCAAAAAGATTCACAAAGGCCCCCCTATGTCCTTTCTTTCGTTTTAGGAGGAAGATGGGGCTTTACTTTGACCAGGTTGACCCAAAATCTTAGAGTTTAAATACCCTGATTGAATTAGTTCAGTTTGAAATTGTATCATATTTACTGCATTTAAATCTATGTAAATTAATATCTTTGAAATTATGAAAATTTATATTAATTAGTGAGAACCTCCAGGGCTCTGTGCCATCGAAATTGGAATGAAATGAGAAAACAATCTGTTACCAAGATTCCCAATTCACTTTGACCAATCTCTATTTTCAGTTAGATTTTCAAGCATTCATTTCAAAAGATCCAACAAACCGCCTTGGCTTTGCCTTAAACAGAAGCTGTTGGCATCCTAGGAGGCTATGAAGAATTCAGACAAGTCGAAACTGAGACCGAAAATGAAGCAGGCATTGTACAGAATAATCAATAATCATTCAGTGTTTCTCCTCCCCATCTCTTTACTTATAACTTTGAAGCAACAATTAAAACTATTACAGGTCACATGCTCCCCACAGATAATGGCATCTACATTTGGTGACACAATGGGTTTAATACTCTGATAACAACATGTGCAAGGGGGAGACCGAACAAATTTGAAAGAGAATAGAGTCCTCTTAAATTACATGCCTCTTTCTTTGGCCTAAAATTCTAAAAAGCAGGCAACAAAAGCAAGAGGCCAAATCCAATGGTTGAATGAGATCCGATCACCGGTGTGAAGTACTGCAGTCTATTTAGAACACCGGGGCAAGGAATGGTGCCCACAAGACATGGGAGTCCAAAAGCCACTGCAAAACCCCCCCTCCTAGATAGGTCATCTGCAATTACTTCAAACTAACCAAGCAAGAACCTGAAAATGTCAGTAAGTGAGACAATGCCTTCTACACGGTTACTGCCAGCCTCCACTATAACAAGCCGTCTAACTCCTGAAATCAATTTGGGAAGATAATGTCATACAGTGATGTTTTCACAATTACAGTACTACATTTATATACCATATTTATTGGGAAAATAATGGTAGCAATGCCACTCAATATATTGCAATGCTACATCACTAATTTAAATGACACCAAAAGACCCATCCCCAAAGTAATTGTCCTTCTTAAAAAGAGAACACAAATTTAATGGAGTTCAAAAAAGAAAGAGAGAAAGTCACCAGGATTTGCCAATTGTTCCATCACTTTAAGCAATGTATCAGTGCGCAAACACATTTGACATCTTTGACTTCTTGTCTCAAAAGGAGTGTTAGAATCTTGCCCCAACTGCAATGCCTAAGAAGTAAATAAAGAAACAAATTTAGGAAACAAGTTTTCTGCAATACACTGCAGAACCTTGTATTAGTCTACCAATAAAAATAGGAAACAAATCTTAAAATATCCACCTCTCCAAGAGTTATCAGCTCCAAAACTTCCTCAAAATATCATCCAACCTTGTTTGGGTAGTCATATGCAAAAAACCAGAAAAAGGAAACAGAAAAAAGGTTACAGCAGTTACCTGATATACAGTCATTTCATTGAGATTATGTGTATAAGCTCTGCCTTTTGCCAAAGCTGTTATATCACTGCCAAAAAAGACAACAAAATTAATGAACAACAATAACACTCAATCCAAGCTGAAAGTAAGTTTTTTGCATCCTAGAAGGATAATCAATCAAGAATGACACCTCACCTCCGACAATATATGTCCAACAACGAGTCATTATCATCAACTATAGGAATTGAACTTACTTGAGCTGTGAAACCAAAGGGCAAAACCTTATCATACCAATAAACAACACATAAAAACATGAATATCTCTAATCATTTAAGATGCCCTCTTGAGGTACTAACTTAATCTTGTTCTTGTAACTTCAAGAAAACCATCAATAATCTTATTTTTTACTTATTTTTACTCTCTTATACCTACCGCAAAGTGTTGACGAAGCAGGAAGCATACCTTGAACTAGCATATTTAGTGCTGAACTAAGAGAAGCAGTAGGTCTCAGCATTGCAAATGGCCGACTGCTAGATTCTCCAATTCTTGGAACCCATGTACCCAGAGGGATTGCATAAATTGGTAATTGTAGTATGGGCGAAGAGCCAGAACAATGTTTAAAATACCTGCATATGACTAGAAATCAAACCCCATTGGTTAGGGAGAAAGAGGCCATGTACTTCCTAACGAATTAAAAGAAAAAAGAACAAACAAACAAATATGGTTACTTAACAAAACCATTAAAAGGCTCACATTTTAGTATTCCAGAGAGAGAAGCAAGATGTAATAATTGGGGAAATAAACCATCTTCTGAGGATGAATGAATAATAGGAACCGTAGCTACTCCATTTTGCAAAAGTTTCAAAGCTACATCCTTCAAATTATCATATGGTCCAGCCTGCATAATCAACAAGAATGTCAATAATGCCACTCACATACACAACTATCAAAAAAAAATGCTGCATTTCTCAAATGGCACAGCACAAGGGAATTAAGAGATGAAGCAGAAAGGCATGAATCAAAAAATATAATAGAAAGGAACCAGATAATGCAGCCTTCTCAAAACAACAAAGCAAAAGGAGCATTGATGCATAGGTGGGTATCAGCAACTAATGAGGGGGAAAAAAGAAAGAAAACGTCAGGGTGTTTTTTTATGAAAACCATGTTAATATAAAAAGGTTGCATCAAGAGGAGCATGGTTATTAATGCTTTATTACTATTAATTGCCATCGTAACATAGAATAATCCTCCACAGCAATGTTGCATGGCATCGATGTAATCCTGCCCCTAACTATTCAACAGTTACATTACACACTTCTGACTGAAATTTTCCTTTTTGGCAAGATTGATTATGCTCTGAAGAACTCCTCGTAAGTTCATAATGACATTTTTGTCCCGGACGCTAGAATTCTCACAGCTACTTGACATCTAATCCCTGAATGTGACATGAAGTTGTTTTCTCACCAAATATAATTCTTAAAGATGCACTATAGCCACATTGGAAGTTGTGCCAAAATAAGATTTTGGCCTGACGTCATATTGAAACAAACATTTAGTTATTCTGGTCGCCAGGCAAACCATGAATAACATTACACCTAGATGATGTATGCATATGTCTACTAAAACATCAAAATACAAACATAAATGGAGAAACAGCTCCGTTCATTTGTAGAAACAAATAGGAATGCACATGCACATGAATATTAATATCATCTTTATTAAGTTATTATCCAAGACAAACCACTATTAAAACGAAAAATCTTCAGAAACTAGAGTCCACAACCATGGCACATTAAATACTAACATGGATGAGATGTCTTGAAATTGGTCTCCCATGCCCATCAACTTGCCCATTCATGTATGCCTTTCCCTCTTTCCAAGCAGAAATAGTGTGTGTTTCAAGCTCTTCCTCTGTCAAATTTGATCCATGATTTCCAAGCTGCATAACAAAAAGAGTATACAAGAGAAATACACAGCAAAAAATGATCCATCTATCAGACAATTATCTTGTGTTAATATCTAGAAACATTCAAGTTAGCTGGATAAAAATAAAACCAAAAATCTTGGAAGATTTGGAAGACTTGCTAGTGCCAAAAATCTTGATTCTGCATTACGGACATACCTCTCTCAGAATCAATATGAAATCCAAAGCACTAAGAACTCCAACAAATTTCCCCTTGCTGAAGTCCCAAAGAGGAGCCGTAGGGATACCCTGAAAACAGCTTGACTCAGAAAAGATATGTATCCAAGCTCTTTATAGCAAGAAAATATGCATGAATGTTACCAGGCATGTAAGTAATGACCATGGAGAATTTAGGTGCATCTACAGCTAGAAAAGGCTCTAAGAAGCAATGATTAGCAAATAAGTACAGAGGATTCCTCTCTCTCTCTTTCGTTGTTTTCTTATGGTGGTAGATTATGTTGTTATGCAGAACATGGATCTTAACCAACAAAAAGACCAGGAACCTAATGAAATTAACTATATTCAGTCCACAGACACCCCAAAAAAAATAACTAAATTAACCTCTGAAAGAACTAAACAGATACCTGCTCGGACAGAATATGAAATGCTTGTTTTACAGGTAAATCAACATCCAAGGCAACAACCTGCCAGGCAGATTTGTCTAAATTAGCAAAATGAAAGTAATATGTACTGATTCAGAGTCAAACATGCAGAGAAATGAGTATATCATGAAGAAGGGCCGATAGGAATGCATCCAAACCTTGCCTGACTCAGGTAGTAACTCATAAGCAGTATGTGCTGCCAAGAATACAGAGATACGATGACAGGAGGCCTGTAAATCCTGTTCTAAAATCCTAGGCATTGCTTGATTCAATGTAACAGCTGAAATTCGATTCTGCATTGCAAAAAGGTACCAAAATCCACTTACACAAGAAAGTAGAAGGAAACAAAATGGTATTAATCAACAAATAAATAGATAGATAAGGTACATAATGAGCACGCATCAGGACTAAAATGCAACAAGCACCAATACTACACAAACTAAAGTCTGCATTACAAAACTAGATCTCTGACAATTTAAATAATAAAAAAAAATACCAAATCATTAGAGTCAGTTTGAAATTGTGATTGGAACTGCATTTGACTGCAAACATGATGCCAAACAAAGTAAATTTTGTGATAAAAAAAATTCTTGATCTCAATGAATTTGTTATCAATTGTGAAACGCAAGTTCCTACCTGATTTTGTGCTTATGATGAGTTTGCTTTTGATCGCAATTTTTATTCTCAATCACAATGCCAAACTAGCCTTTAAGAAGGAAAAATATTTTCAGGAAATTGATATGCAACAAAGCTAAGGAATATAACTGACTCTTACCGTGAGACCATTATCCACATCCATGTTACTCAGTATTTCTGAACGAGGTTGTACCTGAGGGACCTCTGCAGGTACAGGTAGAGTGTCAAAAGTGTTAACTATTCCATATTCGCCATTCCTGTGAGGTTGTCGTTCATCATGTCGCCATTCACCATCAACAAGAAACTTGTACTACATGAAAGAACCACCACAAATGAGCAAACCAAATACGAAGAAGAGGGTCATGGATAAAAGATTACGATTACCACACTCCAGAAGTGCTTGACAAGAAAACCATCCTAACCTGAATACCATTAATGATAGTACTTAACATGCACAACTAATAATACTAACATATTAATTAGATAATAACATTGAAAAAAATTGAAATTACCCGTGTTACTCAATAATTTTAATTTCCAATTCCAGTAGAGCAAATTAACAAACCTCATGGCAACCATGTGGCACGGCACAGACGGCTTGAAACACATTGGGGCAACCTTCAACCTGTGACATTGGCACGAGCTCGGTCCACCTTCATTTTCAAACAATTAACCGTTAATCCAAATATTAATCACAAGCCTAAACATCACAATTTTTCACATCAATAGAATCTTAAAAACAAATTAAGAGATAATTAAAGTGTCACCTATTGAAAGAGCCAGAGAGGAACACACTTCTCCCACCATGCGGCCACGTAAATTGAATTGGAAACAGCACCATGCCCGCGGTTGTTACTCTGCCAGCATCCCGGGCCGGATTCATATCCGAAGCAAACATTTGGCAGCCGCCTTTTCAATAGAATCAATTACGTAACCCAAAAGAGACAACAAAAATCTTGAAAATAAACACCTTCCTAGCGATCAGCTTCTTTTGTAACCATTTTCTCTACTCCGTTCAATCACTGCAAAAGAAAACAAAGTCAATAAAAACAACAATTTAAACATCAAGGACTCGCCTTTTACCATATTGTACGGACAAAACACCTAACTTCGAAACACAATTTCCTTTTTCAAATAGGGAGCGAATTTGGAACTCACCAAACAATGGAGACAAATGGGTAGCTTCGAAATTTGTGGGAAAAAAAAAATTCTGTTAAACCGTGAGATAAATTAAAAAAAATCGAAACCCTAAAAAGGGAATGGGGGAAAAAAAGAAAAGGGTAAACCAGAAAAAAGGTTAAATTTTTTTTGAATTTATTGAATGTGGGTGTGAAGATCGAGAGTGGGGAGGGGTTTTTTGCGATGTGATCGAATCTGATTTCCTTTTTTTTTTTTTTTTTTTTTTGGGTTTTTTCCTTTTTTTATTCAATATATGTTTTCTCCTCTTTTATTTTTTTTTTAATTTTGGAAACCCTAATAAAGTTGAAAGCTTTGAAAGGGATGTTGAACGGTAATGATCGTCTTTGTCTTCTTCCTATAGCATTTCTTTTTTTTTATTATTTTATTATTTTATTTTTTTTACCGTGGTGTTTTGGGGGATATTAACGGTGGTTTCTTATTTTTAACTGTCAAACTGTAAAAATGTGTTTCGGTTACTCGTCCAACTTTTGCTTGTTTGCTTGTTTGTCTTCCTGATATACACGTGCAGTTCCTTGGTGGGACCCGTTGCTCATGCAGGGACCAACCAAAATCATTAGACTTTTTTTCTTTTTCTTTTCATTTTATTTTGAGGAATTTAATTGTGCTTATGATTAAAGAAAGATTCTTTAATGAATAAATCAAAGAAAGAAAAAGAGATTCCTTTCTTAAGGAAGCATATTCTTCTTTTTTCTCTCATCTCATGATCCTTAATTAAGTCAAGAAATAGTTACATTTGGATTGATTTTGACCAAAGATATCATTTGGTAACGTATTTGATATTTTTACCGCACCTTAATTCGAATCTTTTTATTTAATAAGATATCTAAACTCGTATTTAAATATCATAGATATTACTTATTAAACATTTATGTTTGTTAAATACTTAATTAAATTAAATTTAAAATTAATTTATATTTATTATTAACAAAAATTAATTTAATAAATTAAAATTAATTAGTAAAAATTAAAATTATATTCACAACAATTAATGATTTTACATTAATCATAAGAAATTATGAATAAAAAATATTATATACATATGATTAAATTTTAATATTATAAATTATTATTTATAATTGAGTTGAGTATTGGTTAATTACAACATGAACCCTACCGAAATCCATGACAGATAATAGTTTTAGTATTGAGTATAAAGTATCATAATTTTACTTAATCGGGATTGAATAATGTAAGATATTTATTAATAACTTTAATTTTGATAAAAAAAAGTCAAAAAATTAAAAGATATTGATATAATTATTAAAAAAAGTCAACCTATGAGGATTTAGGTATAGGGAAATAAATGTAACAAAAAAGACAAAGTTGTTGTTTATTGTTAAGAAAGAAAACAAGAGTTTTGACATTTCAAAATTGTTGAAGAAATTTCCAAATTGGCCACCTAACAATATGGTTTCACATTGAGAATTTAACTCTTGCTATTTCAATTTTAAAGTTAAATGATAAGAGAATGGTGGAGTTTTGGGTTTGAATTTTAGTGATTTTTATTTATATTTTAAATAGAAAAATCACAACACTTTGCTCAATTTTTATCTTCTTGCCATTCATTTTAGAAGTTGGAAATAGAATATAATTTTTATTTTCTTGCCATATTCATTTTAGAAATTGAAAATATAATATAATGATAATGCAAGGACATCCTTTTTTTTTTGGGTTGAATAATATGGTTTTGCTTAATAGTATTTAAAATATTTATGTGTATTTGCATGAATACGATCCGCATTCAAATATTATTAATTCATAAAACTTTTCTGAATCTAAATCATATAATTCTTGAAAGCTTAAACCCGAGATTGACTTAGAATTTATTATAGCTTTAAAATATCCACATTCCAATTTGGTATGAGATATTACAATTTCAAGTAATCAAATCTTTAATGAAGACATTAAAATCAAATAATAAATGATTAATTCGTAAACTAAAATTTCACCAATGTAATGTGAAAGTCTATATCGAATTACCTGATGCTCTAATATTAATTGTAACGACTTTGGTTTAAATATCAAAGTTTTTTTTTTAAAAAATCAAACCCCCAAAAACTTAAAATAAAATTATTAATAGTAATTTATTTATTTTTTATAAATTTTAATAATTATATTAATATTTAGATATGAAATTAAATGTCACGTTTGCGTCATCATAATAAAATAGATAATAACATAATTTAATTTTTTTCATTAACGTGATAAACAAATTATCATCGATTATTATGAGTATTATGTGAAAATGACATGGTACCATGACATTGCATTCTCCACACCAAAGATGCTAATGAAATCTTTAGACTTTGATAAGGAGGAGGGAAATCATGATAACATGTGCATGAGAAGAACTCTTTTCTTCATCAAATGAAGGAAAACTCTTTGCCTTGAAATGGAAGCAAAAAAGAAAAAGAAAAAAAAGGGTATTCTCTTGAATGTGAAAAGATTGGAATAGTCACAATCATGGAATTCTTATTACATTACAAAAGCTGAAGACAAAGATCCATTTGGAACCGAACCTCGAAAACGGCGTCGTTTCAACCAATGACAATTTTGTTTCCCCGTCTTCCCCACGCTCCTGCCTCCCACGCGCCGTCAACGGAAATCTTTTAATATATTTGTTTTGCTAGAATTAATAAATTCATCGTGATCCAAAAGAGGAAAAAAGGGGGCAGAAAAAGGAAAGGAAATAAGAGAGAAAAAAGCCCTAAATTATTTAATTTTAAAAAATAAATTAAAAAGGAAAACACCGAAAAAGACCCACAAACACCCACTTCTCTTTCTCTGTTGTTGCCTGTTTGTTTGTTTTGTGTTTTTTTTTCGGAAGTGTGAACAATTTTTCTGGAAACAAAAGGACCCATAAACGAACTCGGCACCGCGACCCGGAACGAGTCTCAATCACGAGTCGGCGGCACTCGTCGACCGCCTCGTTCTCCATCGTCTGATCATCAATATCTCTGATCGTGAGTTAAATAAAAGAAAAAGGAAAGAAAAGATTGAAATATTAATTCACTAATTTTATCAAATTGATTGATTAAAAAAGGGTATTTTTTATTTGATAGGATCGAAGCCGGCTTTGGGATATTTTCTTTGTGGGTTTTGGTGGACATTTTTTCATTTTTAATATTTATTGTTTTATTTTTTGGTTTCGAGCTTGGTGATGTTGGATTTTCGGGAAGGTAGGGAATTGGAGGGGTGAGGGGGTTAAGGTTTTGGGAGGGTTAGGGTTTTTGGGTGGATGGGTTTAGAGATGGATGAAAATTCTGAGCTTGAAGAAGGAGAAGCTTGCTATCACAAAGATGATGACGACTATATTAACCCCGACACCGACTTCTCTTACCTTGTAAGGGTTTGATTTTTGTTATTTTTTTCCATTGAAATTCAATCGTTTTTACACCCGCATTCTCTTTCTGAAACTTGGGATTACGCCACAGTTAATGCCATTTGAGTTTTTGATAAGATTATGCTTAATTATGAGTTTGATTAAGCGTTGATGGTGCTTCTTAGGCAATGCAATTCTATTAAGCTTTGTTGTAGGGAATGGCTAATTTGAAATTATGCTTAGTTCTGGGTTTGGTTGAGCATAAAAGTTACTTACTAATTCGAACGAGTTGTGGTTCGTTGTATGCATTAGAATTTCTTGAGGCTTTAAATTTGAGTTTATTTGTGGTATATGAACATGGATTCACTGATTCAATTTGTTGAGAGTGATGAAGTCTACTTTTGAGGTTGAGATTTTTCACTGTATTGGTAACTTAGTACACAAAAGCATTATTTTGACATGCTTTCATATACGTATAATTGGTTTAGAATTTTTCATAACTAGGGATGCAATAAAACAACTAGAAGAATATGTTATAAAGCACTATTTTGTGTTTTTGTGCAGTTTTTGTAGCTAGTTATATAATGTGATAGTATTGATAATGGCAAAGAAGATACATGATCATTAAATCATTCCCACTTGTGATTTGTGGTCTAGAATTTTGAAGTCAGTTTATTGTCTTACTAGAATTTTATTGGCATGTTGTTTGAGAAAGCTGAGGCATAGAAAAGAAAGTTAATAATAGATGGAACTTCATGAAGTAATTATCCTGTTTCTCAGCAGCAATTTATTGCATGGTAAAAGCTCCTTGCCTGGATGATCTTTGAAACTTCCACAACATTTGGATTTTTCGTTGAGAGAGTGTCTGTTTGAATACACGATGAATGCGAATAACTTATCAGTACTCTTTATTGATCTGATTGATATTTGAAATATTAAACTATAATCAGTTCAAATGTTACTATTCAGCTCCTGAAAAGAATGGACTTCTAAATGCTAATATTAGTTGGCTTGTTGTGCCTGCTATAGATGCACTTTAATCTGGTCTATTTATCAGTTTTAATATACATCAATTTTCAAAATTCTCTGTGTTATTCCATTAGTAATATGGGATTTCATTTCTTAAGGATGAGAAGATTAAACACGTCTTGGGCCACTTTCAAAAAGACTTTGAAGGTGGGGTTTCTGCAGAAAATTTGGGTAAGTGGTTGATCTTGGTTTTAAGAAATTTTAAGTACTATTGCAAGCTTAAGTTTTTCCTTGAAGATGATGTTAAATTATTTTTGCAGGGGCAAAGTTTGGTGGGTATGGCTCATTTTTGCCTACCTATGAACGCTCTCCTTCTAGATTATCACGTCCAAAGACACCACAGAGAAACTCCAGCGCGCCAAGGTCTCCCAACAATTTATCTATGGAGGTATATGGACTATATTCTTACTATAGTTTGGTCATTTCTTTGGAAGAAGATGTCCATAGCTGTTGCTTAGACAGCTTATGAAATTCTAGTTTACTTGAGTGCTGTGGAATGTGTTACCATACAGGGTGCATCCCAGAATTTGAATGCTCCTCCAAATGCACCCCCAACTGGGAGACCTGGGAGGGCTTTCTGCTCAACTGGCAACATTGCTGCTAGACATGATTCACATTTGTCTTCTGCTCAAGTTGCTGAGAAGGTTGCCTTGAAGGATGAGAATTTTAACAGAGCAGGGATTCCCACGGATCAGAAGAAACTGAAGTTTCGAATTAAGATGGGCTCTGATAACAAAACTCAAAAGAATGCTGCAATCTATAGGGGTCTTGGGCTTGATTTTTCTCCATCTTCATCATTGGGGAACAGTCCTGAGGAAAGTGGAGGAACAGTGACAACATCTCAAGATACCACAAGTGAATCACCCACTAGAATTCTTCAGGTAGAGGTTTCTCTTGG